GGCAGAGCTTGCAGTGAGTGAGCCGAGATCGTGCCACTGCACTCCAGCCTGGGCGACAGAGCTAGACTCCGTCTCAAAAAAAAATTTTTTTAATTAAAAAAAAAAAAAAAAAAAGAATTAGTGAACTTGGCCGAGCGTGGTGGTTCACACCTGTAATCCCAGCACTTTGGGAGGCCGAGGCGGGTGGATCAAAAAGAAAAAGAATTAGTGAACTTATGGATTGAAAGAGATTATACAATCTGCAGAACAGAGAGAAAAAGGTGAGGAAAAATGAACAGAGTCTCAGACAACCATGGCACACTATTAAGTGATCCAACATACGGGTAATGAGCATCAGAAGAGGAAAAAGAGAAAGGAGTAGGAAAACAAAATACTTGAAGAAACAATGGCTGAAAGCTTCGGAAGGCTGATGAAAACTGTAATCTATACATCAAAGCAGCTTAGGCCAGGGGTGCTGGCTCACGCCTGTAATCCCAGCACTTTGGGAGGCTGAGGTGGGCAGATCACAAGGTCAGGAGATTGACACCATCCTGGCCAAGATGGTGAAACCCCATCTGTACTAAAATACAAAAAATTAGCCAGGCATGGTGGTGTGCGCCTGTAATCCCAGCTACTTAGGAGGCAGAGGCAGGGGAATCACTTGAACCTGGGAGGCGGAGGTTGCAGTGAGCCGAGATTGTACCACTGCACTCCAGCCTGGCAACAGAGGAAGACTCCGTCTCAAAAAACAGAAAAAAAAAAAAAAGAAAAAAAAAAGCAGTCCAACAAACTCCAAGTAGAATAAACACAGAGAGATGCACAAAGACATAATAAAGGTGCCAAGAGTCAAAGACAAGGGAAAAATCTTGAAAGCAGCAAGACAAATCATCATGAGGAAACCCCAATATTAGGTTAAAAGCTGACTTCTCAGCGGGGTGTGGTGACTCATGCCTGTAGTGGCGAGACCCTGTTTTTTCAAATAAAAAAAGGGAACTTTCTAGACAGACACAAATTACTAAAAATGACTATTAAAAAAACCCCAGTCCAGGCACGGTGGCTCACGCCTGTAATCCCAGCACTCCAACACTTTGGGAGGCCGAGGCAGGCGGATCACAAGATCAGGAGATCGAGACCACGGTGAAACCGTCTCTACTAAAAATACAAAAAGTTAGCCGGGCACGGTGGCGGGCGCCTGTAGTCCCAGCTACTCCGGAGGCTGAGGCAGGAGAATGGTGTGAACCCAGGAGGCGGAGCTTGCAGTGAGCCAAGATGGAGCCACTGCACTCCAGCCTGGGGGACAGAACAAGACTCCGTCTCAAAAAAAAAAAAAAAAACCCCAGAATATCCGAATATACCCTATAACAAGTGGAACCTGAATTATTAATAATATAAAAAAGCTACATTAATAATATAAAAAAACTAAATAATATTAAAAATATATAAAAAAACAGGCTGGGCACAGTGGCTCACGCCTATAATCCCAGCACTTTGGGAGGCCAAGGCAGGCAGATCGCTTGAGTCCAGGAATTTGATACCAGCCTGGGTAACATGACAAAATCACATCTCTACAAAAAACTACCAAAACTAGCCGGGCATGATGACGCACATGCCTTTAGTCCTAGCTACTTGGGATGCTGAGGTGAGAGAGTTGCCTGAGCCTGAGAGGTGGAGGTTGCAGTGAGCCTAGATCACACCACTGCACTCCAGCCTAGGCGACAGAGTGAGACCCTGTCTCAAAAAAAAAAAAAAAAAAAAGGTAGTTAAAGAAAAGCCAGGCCTAGATGGCTTCACAGGCAAATTCTCCCAAGCACTTGAAGAATTAATACTAGTATACTAGTTCTTCACAAACTCTTCCAAGAAACCAAAACAGGAAGAAAAATGACAACTAACTGTATGAGGCCAGTATTAATTAACCTGATACCCAAACCATGTCACTAAAACACTACAGACTATTATCTTTCATGAATATAGATGCAAAAATTCTCAACAAAATGCCAGCAAAACCAATCTAATATATAAACATAATTACACACTATGACCAAGCAGGATATATCCCAGAGATGCAAGGAAGTTTTATATCCAAATAAAAGAATGTAACATACTGTAACAACAGAATCAGAGACAAAAGTCACATGATCACCTCAACAGAGGCAGAAAAAGCATCTGACAAAGTCCAATACCATTTTAAGATAAAACATTTAATAAAACAGGACTAGAATGGAACTTCCTCAACTCAGTCAAGGGCACCTATAAAAACCCACAGCTGACATCACACTTAATGGTAAAGACTAGTGCTTTCCCTGTAAGATCAGAAAGAAGACGAGGACATCCATTCTCACCACTTCTTTTCAATACTGTATTGGAGGTTCTAACCAGGGCAATTAGGTAATAAAAAGAAATAAAATGAATCTAGATTGGAAAGGACAAGCAAAATGAACTCTATTTGCAGATGACTGATGTTGTACAAAGAAACCCCTAAGAAATCCACTAAAAACTAGGTTGGGCACGGTGGCTCACACCTGTAATCCCAGCACTTTGGGAGGCCGAGGCGGGCAGATCACCAGCAGGAGATTGAGACCATCCTAGCTAACGTGGTGAAACCCGGTCTCTACTAAAAATACAAAACAACTAGCCGGGCGAGGTGGCGGGCGCCTGTAGACCCAGCTACTCGGGAGGCTGAGGCAGGAGAATGGCATGGACCCAGGAGGCGCAGCTTGCAGTGAGCCGAGATCGCGCACTCCAGCCTGGGCAACAGAACGAGACTCTGTCTCAAAAAAACAAAAACAAACAAACAAAAAAAGAAATCCACTAAAAACTATTAGAACTAATATTATTTTATGTTTTTATTTTTATTTATTTATTTATTTATTTTTTGAGACGGAGTCTCGCTCTGTCGCCCAGGCTGGAGTGCAGTGGTGCGATCTCAGCTCACAGGAAGCTCCGCCTCTCGGGTTCACGCCATTCTCCTGCCTCAGCCTCCCAAGTAGCTGGGACTACAGGCGCCGCCACCACGCCAGCTAATTTTTTGTATTTTTAGTAGAGACGGGGTTTCACTGTGTTAGCCAAGATGGTCTGGATCTCCTGACCTCAAGATCCACCTGTCTCGGCCTCCCACAGTGCTGGGATTACAGGCACGAGCCACCGCGCCCAGCCCTAGGATCAATTTTGAGCTTATATTTTGCTATCACCTGCCCTGTATTTTCCAACTTTTTTTTTTGAGACAGAGTCTCGCTCTGTCTCCCAGGCTGAAGTGCAGTGGCACGATCTCGGCTTACTGCAAGCTCTGTCTCCTGGGTTCACACCATTCTCCCACCTCAGCATCCCGAGTAGCTGGGACTACAGGCGCCCGCCACCACACCCAGCTAATTTTTTTGTATTTTTAGTAGAGACGGGGTTTCACTGTGTTAGCCAGGATGGTCTCGATCTCCTGACCTCGAGATCTGCCCGCCTCGGCTTCCCAAAGCCCTGGGATTACAGGTAGAAGCTACTGCGTCCAGCGTTTTTTTTTTTTTTTTTTTTTTGTGATGAGTCTCGCTCTGTCACCAGGCTAGAGTGCACTGGCACAATCTTGGCTCACTGCAACCTCTGCCTCCTGGGTTCAAGTGATTCTTCTGCGTCAGCCTCCTAAGTAGCTAGGATTACAGTTGCCCGCCATCACGCCCAGCTAATTTTTGTATTTTTAGTACAGATGGGGTTTCACCATGTTGGCTAGGAAGGTCTCCATCTCTTGACCTCGTCATCTGTCCACCTTGGCCTCCCAAAGTGCTGGGATTACACGCGTGAGCCACCACGCCCAGCCGGATTTTCCAACTTTTATTAATGACATGTAGTTTCCAGACTCTGTAGTCTTCTAACCCCTACAAGTTCCTAGCACAAGAATCTGTTTTTGGCAAGTTCCCTAAAGCTTCTGTTGCCAAAGCCAATTCACACTTTCCTTTTCTTCCCAGAACTCTTGGTGGCATTTCCCAATCCTGAGTCTCTGCAACCACCCAAGCCAGAGAGACCCCTGACACTGTCCACCATTCAGAATCATCCTATCGAAAAAGACCAGAGGGGCATTGTGATGAGCATGGGAAAAGGTGGAGAAATGCTGCTTCCCATGCTCACGCTGGATGCTAACATCTGTTCATAAACCCCACCACCCTCCTCCAGGGTGAAGACAGCCAAGCACCTCTTTGGCCCAGACCTGGTCCTGGGCCTCTTTGCTGTCCGCCGATACACAGCCCCTTCACCCCCACCTCCAACCCAGCACGTCATCCATTCAATCAAAATAGACCTACTTTGGCCTCTGTGCTAGGCACTGGAGCTACGCTGGAAAATGAGACAGAATTTGCTCATTCTCTTGCCTTATGTTCTCCATGCCCCACAACACACTTCCCCACAGCTCCCTGCTCCCTGACAATCTCAGCAGCACCACTGTCCTCCCAGTCCAAGTCAGAAACCAGAGTCACCCCAGGCTCCTGCTCACTCCCACATGCCAGCCTCCGGCTCCCTTCCTTCAACTGCTCTTCTCCCCTTCACTCCCAAGGTGGGGTCCCCTCTCGTCTGGAGACTGCAGCAGCTCCTCCTTGGCCCCCACCGCCCCACCTAGGTGCAGGCCTGAAGTCTCTAGTTCAACACCAACTCTAATCCTGTTAATCCCGTACTTAAAACTTGACTGCCTACAGGAACAAGCCCAGGCCTCTCAGCACAGGTCTCCTGAGCCTCGAGCCCAACCCCCTCCTCCTCCAGCAACACTTGCACTGCATCATCTCCATCTGGTTTCTGAACCTCATCTGGCGCTGGCCTTATGAACATAGAGGCCCCCATATCCCACAGAATACGTCACCTTCTCCCAGGCAGAGTCCCCGTCTCCCACCCTCTCTCTGTAGCCGTGCTGCCTGCACTGGGCTGGAAACGTCATTCACTTCCTCCTGCCTCCACTGCAGTCCCTCACGGGTAGACAGAGGTTCTAACTGCACAACCTCCCCGGAGGCCTCAATCTACCCACAGGACAGAGGGAGAGCACTGTGGCCACTCACCCTGCGGTTCCGGTTGTGATCCATGGTCTTCAGGTGCTTCTGGATGATCCCAAACTGCATGGGAATGAAGAGGTCGCAGGCTGCACAATGGGCTGCCTCTACCTTCTTCACAAAATGCTCCATGGCAATTTCTGTAGTGGGGAGGAGGGAGTCACCACTGGGCCCAGGTGCCTAAGATAGACCCAGGTGTTTGAGGAAAAAAACCACACCAGCTCCTCCTCAACTTGCCCTGCCACTTCCACCTGGGCCTGAGCCGAGACTGTTCTCCTGACCTTCCCTGGGAGAACAGAAGGGTGTCCTGACCCTGCACTGAGAATCAGGAGGGCAGGCTGAGGCCTCGCCTGGTGGGAGCGGGCTGGAAATCTCCTCACCCTGGGTCAGATCCTGGTCTCTGTAGATTTGCTGGATGAGGCCATCAAGGTCCTCTACAGTTTTTCGGAGCTCCTCTGTCTTCTTGGTCTTGTTGGTGACGTACTCCTGCAAGGAATATGAAAGTTCGTGTGGGCCGCTTTATGTTCTCAGGGGTCCAAGAAACTAAGAGCGGCTGTGTTACTCCAAGGCTCACCTGCAGAAAGTCAGCCGTCTGCTTAGGGAGCTTGGTGCCTACGTACTTGAAGTGTTCCTTGTGGAACTTGCTGTCAAGATGGCTGGCCATCTCATCCTCATAGAAGGTCCGGTATTTGCAGAGAGAACACACAAACTGGATCCTGCCACAGGAAGGAAACGAGGGGCTGAGGCTGCAAGTGTCCCAGGGGATAGTGCTGCCGCCTCACCCAACCCAGACACAAGCCCTGAAACAGGCCTTGCTCATGGGCCTCTGAAGTACGGTCCCAGCAGAGGGACAGGCTGGGACCAGTGGGGTCGGGAGTAGAAAGGGCCAGAAAGTCTGCAGGCTGCAGTTACTGCAACGTAGGGGACAGGGGAGGAGCTCTTCCTTCCCACAGGCAGGAGGCTGAAGCCTGAGACAGCAGCTGCTGCAACAGGCAACGAGTCGCTGGAAAGTTGCTGGAGGGCCTCGCTACCAAGGCTGGGCAGGAGCGTGTGCACTTGGCCCAGGTGGGGACCGGAAGGAAGGATGCCCTGGCGTGAGCCAGGTGGCCCTGAGGTGCAGAGTGGAGCACGCAGTCCCGAGGCAGGGCCCGAAAAGGTGCTGCATCTTCCTTCTGGGATCTGGGGGACTCAAAGGCCCAGCCCATCCTCTGCTCAGAATGCTTGGGGGTGGTGTCGGGAGGGATGGGAGGCAGCAGGCCTGGGCACCTGCTGCCTCATCTTCCTCTTCCAAGAAGAGACCAGTCTGAGCTGGAAGGAGGGCGCCCGCCCGGCCTGCCAGAGGGCAGCCTGGAGTCACCTGGGCGAGGTGCTCTGTCTGGGCCTGGTGTCCACAGTAGAAGCCCGGGGTCTGGGGCCTGGGCCGGAGCAGGCCGCCGTGGCAAGGGGCGGAGGAGGCCAGCCGCCACCGAGACCTCGGGGCGGGTCCCTACCTCTGCCGGACGTCCTTATCTGGGCCACGGGGTCAGCTTTGTCTGGAGAGCCCAGGGGCCGGGCGCCGGCGAGGCTGAGGAAGGTCCAGCAAGAGCAAGAGTCTGAGGCGGAGGAGGCAAGCGCCAGTGCGGGAGCCCTGAGGGCAGACAGACCCGACCAAGGGGCGTGAAGGGCTCAGCCGCAGACAGGCCCGGCCTGACAGGGCCGGCGGGCAGGGCAGAGGGCAGGCCCGAGGCTGCCACAGCCCACAGGTGCTGCCATCTCTCCTGGGCACGGCGGTGGCCTCTTGGCAGCTAGCTGGGGCGGCACAGGCGCCTTGGACCTTGAGTCTCTGATGAGCTGGCCCCCTCCCTCAGGGGCATCAGGCCCCCAGTGCACCTTGGGGTTCGTGCGCCGAGTGACCTAGCGCCGGAGCTTCTGAGCAACGGTGCCGAGCGGTGTCAGGTCTCGGCCCACAGACGCCAGCGGTCGCCAGGCGGCCGCAGAGGGGCAAGGGATGAGTCAGGCCTTGGGAGCTGGGCCTGGCGGGAAGCAGGGTCCATGCACGGCCGAGCAGGTGGCGGCTCCCAGGGGAGGCCAGAGGGCGGCGAGCTGGCAGAGCTATGGCCCTGCTCTCCTGGCGGCAGCCCCACATCGAGGCAGAGGCAGAGGGGTGGAGGGAAGCCGGTTACCTTTCCACCATGCGGTCTCGCTGCCGCTTTTTCTGCTTGTCCTGACTCTTCTTGCCTGCCTGTAACTTGCGCTTGGTCTGGCCATTCTCATCCTGAGTGGTCAGGGCCCCTGTGGGAGCAGATGGGCACTGTCACCAATTTGGCTCTGCCAGGACAGGGCAGGCCCTGTGGCCTCTGGTTGAATCACCCGCTGTTCACTCCAGCGGATCCATCGAGAATAGCTGTCCAAGCAAGGCCTCTGGCCATGAGCAGGGCTGGGTATCCTGGGCTGTGCAGGGAGTGGGTTTGGTCTAGGCCCCAAGGAGTGGCGGCCAGGTGCTGACCCGTCCACTCTCCAGGATACCCATGCTCTTTGTGCAGTGGGCCAGGAGGAGGCTGGAAAGCAAAGAGGGGGTATCTTGGTGGGGACACTGGCATATGTTCATAGGTGGTGGGATGCAGGGAGGCTGCTCACATGGCCCTGCCCACCCCCAACCGGGCACCGCGGCAACAGTGGGCTGACGCTGGATTTGCTGTTAGGTACCTGCTGGCGCTCATCACTCAGGTGGGGGGACACGGAATCCCAAACAGGGGCTGGAGAGGCGCTAAGGGAGAGGACACGCACACCAGAGCCGTAAAAACTGCACCGAGGGTCCCAGATCGGACACCAGCCACTGAGGACTCGGAACTGCGCGTTACTGAGGGACCGAGGGCAGGGGGTGTGCCTGGGGTTCCCCACACTTTTACTCGCTGCCCCCATCTGAAGGCAAAACCAATGTGCTAGGCAGGGGTCACCACCATCCACAGCCTCCGCCTGGGAAGGAGGAGGAAGAGTGGGAAGGGGGTGGAGGTGGCAAAAGAAAGCCCCCTGCCAGCGTACACCTGGGCCCACAAGGGAGGTCCCCAACTGGCTGCATGTCTTCCACAACCCTGCCCTCAGCTGGGTCCCTCCCACTGTGAGCCCCTGGAAGAGCCGCCCTAGCACCAGGCACCCCAGGAAAACTCACCCTTCTCTGAATCCTCTTTGCCTTCTTCTCTCCCATCCTCTTTTCCCTCCTCGTCCTCTCCGTCCTAACAATTTCAAATTCCAACTTTAAAACAGGTGTTTTTTTTTTTTAAAGCAACCAAGTTTATTAGAGCAACGGTATATAGTAAAACAGCTGCTTGCTCCATAGACAGAGCAGGGCTATCCCATAAGCAGGGTGGCCCAGAGTAGCCCAGTTATTTACAATGGCTTTAAATGACAAGGCCCGGCTACGTGCCAGAAACCTCACATCCTCTCACTACCTGGTGCACAGGGGGCTGGTCCCATTTTCCAACAAAGAAACTGTGCCTCCAGCTAGGCAGCCTGTGCTTTCTGCCAGACCACATTGCCTCCCCATGCTGGTCACCATGCACACAGAGCTGACACAGCACTGCCTCTGGCCCCCAGGGACAGCACCACTCTTCAGGCCAGCTTGCCCCTCCTGCAGACAGAAAATGCCCAGCCAGAGCCACTTACCACTCTGGAGCCCTTCTCTACAGCCTCGGTGCCTTCAAGGCCCTCTGTGGCTTCCCCCTCGGTGCCCTCATCTGAAAGAGAAAAGAAGGTAAAGCTCAGCCCAGGAGCCCCCGGAGGCAGAGGGTAGCCACCCAGTACCACCCAGCTAGCTCACCATTGTCTGAGTCACTGTTGTCCGAGCAGTCTGTGCGGGTGGCTTTGCTATCCGGCTCATCAGGACTGCCGCCCTGTTTTCTCTTCTTCTTCTTGGTCTGGGTCATAAGCGGGGGAAGCTGTGTCAGGGTGCGTGGCTCCTGGCCTTTAGCTCTGCCCCAGTGGGAACTAAGCTTCCCAGAGGGGAAGGCCACCTCCACTCACCCGGAAGTCGGCTGTGGTCCAAGTCTTCCAGGTCCGCCTCATCTGCTTCATGCCATTGCCAAACCCGAAGCCAAAGCGGGAGCCGCCTGGGAAGGCGCCCCCGCCTCGCATGCCCTGGAACATGCCATACTCGGGGATGATGTTCTGGGAGAAGAGGGAGGGCAGCCGAGAGGCACCAGACATGCACTGGCCCCGGGCCCCCATGGGGTCTTCCCACATGCGCCCATAGCCTGAGGCCATCGGCCGGCCGCTCCGGGCATCCCGGGCCCAGCCCTGCGCCCTGGGACCGAAGGTGTCGTTGCCACGCATGCGGAACTGGTCGCGGTAGGCATCGTATTGGCCCTCATAGGCCATTTCCATCTCAGGGTCAAGCTCGCTGTAGTCATAGCCTGACCGGTACAGGTCGCGCTCACTCAGGACGGCCCTTGAGTCACAGGACTCATAGGAGTCATACCTGCAGAGGCATGGAGTGAGTATCAGGTGGAGTCCCTCAGGATCCCTCACCTCCAGGCGACTGCTCCTGCCCTCCCCACAATCTCCCAGTCCAGCACCCACCCTGCCCTGGTGGGGAGGCTCAATGTTCAGAAATGACAATTAAAAAGTTCCAGCCTTTCAGCTGATGTAGGGGCACCACTGCCCCAAACTTGAATGTAGCCACACACTGGCTTGGGGACCCTAAGGAGGACCGACAACTGGGGTGGAGGCTCTAGTCCAGTGAGTCTCAACGAGGGGCAGAGCTGCTCCACAGCCCTTCGGGAACATGTGCACCATCTGTGGGAGTCGCAACGCCCAAGGCTGCTCCTCATGGGGCAAGGCTGAGCACCCCAGCACCCTGCAGGCTGCAGGCAGGTCCAGCACAACGAATGTGCAGCCAGTGAGGCTGATGACACCCATGGGAAACACCGTTCTTGTCCCTCATGGCTGGGGAACCTTCGAACTCTGCAAAGTCCCTCATTACCAAAACAACTGAGACAAAAGGGGGAGTATTTCCCAGGAAAGACACTGAGAGCTTGCCCAGGGACAAGAAAAAGCTGTATTATATGATCTGGAGCCTAGAGCCAGACACCAAACTCTACATACCCTATATTGCAACTGGGAAGGCAGGCCAGACCTCCTCCCAGGACACCGAGGGCACCGCAGAGAGCTCTTTTAACCACGACTGCAGCCCGAAGCCTACGCCCCCACAGGCCTGGACCCCACACACCTCACAGGCACAAGGGCTCCCCTTGCACACTCTTCCCTAAACCTGGGCCACCAACAGGCACTGGCAGCTCTAAGAGCAGCAGCTGGTGCTGCCACTGCTCTGCTTACCCCCATCCCAGGCTCCAGGCTGTGGTAAGAAGGTGCACAGCAGCAATGCAAGCCCAAGCCTCACGTGCCAAGCCCTCAGCTCTGAGTGCTGCAGCTGTTGGGCCAGGAGTTACAGAGCCCATGGCATCAAGTCCCCTTGTGCCTGTCCCACACCCTGCCACCACAGCCCTGGGGCCTCACTTGGCCCTACCAGTGCTCAGCCAGGTGACTCCTTACTCTTGGCTCTCACTCATCTGTTAGCTGGAACTCCACTCTATCCTGTGCTAAAGATACACCCGCCCTCCTCACCAAAGCCTCGCACTGGGCACAAGCACTCCTGGGCCAAGTCCAGTTCAGTTAATGACAAACGCCCACAGCATGATGCTCTGGAGTAGGGCAGATCTGGTAGGCAAGGCCCAGCCCCACCACGTACTTGCTGCGTGCCTTCGGGGTATGACCTGCCTGCACTTCTGTATCCCCACCTGCAAAATGAGGACAGCAGCAGTTCCTCACAAGAGTGCTTCCAACAGGTACACGTTTGTAAGGCACAGGAGAGTAACCAGGAAATGCCCACACCTGCCCCGACCCTTACGTGGGGGTGGCCCAGCTCACAATGATCAGCCCCAAACGCTCGTCCCACCCTTCACACCAAACTCCATCTGTCCTGCCCTGACACCACGCAGGACGCAAAGTCTTGAGAGAATTCCTTCCAAATGGCTGTCCTTGGAGGGAGGGGCAACCGAACACTCTGTTTTTGAGGGCACAGCGAAGGCAGCCCAATCTGGGCTTGTTCCTCCCACTCCAAGCTGGGGAAAGGCTGACCACTAGGTAGTGCGGCAGGGGTTGAGGGTGGGTGAGAGGAGACACAAGTCAGAGACGGGAAGTGCGACGGACCCCGCTGGGAGCCACAGCAGCACCAAGCAGCGGGGAGGAAGCAGACACAGAGGCGCACTCAGAAAGGAAGACGCAGTGGGCAGCAGGCAGGAGCCACCCCTGCAGAGCCTCAGCCCCTAGGCAGGTGTCCACTCACCTTTCTCCACCTGAGCCGTACACGCCTCCTTGCATCATGTCTGTCTCCAAATGCGGCACCATATCTAAGCGCTGGTTAATTCTGGATAAAACGGAATCGGCACTGGCGCTACCCGAGGCACTAGTGTTTGCATTTGTGTCAGAGCTAGGCATTTCCCAAGAGTGTGAAGTGGCCATACCATACCCATAGTTGGTGGTGTTATCCTGGCCATAGCCATAGCCATAGCCATAGCCCTCGTAGCCTGCAGTGAGGGAGACAGAGACAGACAGATGGTGGGGGCAGGCAGGCAGAGACAGAGACAAACACAGATACAAGGGTATCTTCTGTCACAGAGAGAGAAGACCCTAGCCACTGAGGCTGGAGGGACCCTGGCCATTCTGATGAGCGCCTCCTGTTAAGGAGTAGGTAACCCCAGAAACACGCCCCCTCCCCACTCCCAACCTTGGTCAAGCGGGGCAGCAGCTGAGAAACATAGCCAGAACAACCCCAAGGGACAGGACAGTGATCGCAGGAATGACACTTGCCTCTATTTGTCCCAGAGTTCCAAGTTCCATATCCTACAAAAAGTAAAAGGGCAGTTACATCTATACTTGCGTACAATACAAGGCCGTAATTCAGGTGCAAAGACAATTATTCCCAGGACCTGACTGGTCAGAGCAGGCTGCACCTCCTCTAACCGAGACGCCTTAAGCTTGCGAGCACTGTGCAAATGATCCAGGCCACTTGCTGCCCTGGTGCCTGGCTGCCTGTGGCTCTGAGCATCTGTTATTTAAGGATCCTCCTGTTCCCAATACTCTCAACTAAGGAACTTGGCTCCTACACTCCTTCCCTTAAGAGCCAGAATTAGAAGGTGACCTCCACACCCCAGGCTAAACGCTAATCAGTTTATAGCAGAAAACCCAACCCCAGTCTCCCAAGAGACTGCCTTAAAAGGGAGGGCCAACAAGCCCTTGAATTGTTGACTGTGCTGTGCTGGAACACATCAGTGAGAGAAGCCCAAGAAGCAACCCCTTACTTGAGAAAAGCTGTGGAGAGAACCATCTGGATTATCAACTTAATATGCTCTGGATTCAATCACAATACATGATAAAACCTCATTCCTTCAGGAACATAAAGCCACTGAGAAGTGACAAAGTGTAAAGTCCCCTGGGAACTCAAACACACAGTTCCTCCCCAAAGGAGGGCACAGAGCAGGTGACCCCTTTCCCTTGGTCTCTGGTGAGACCCAACAGTTGTTTCCCATTCCATGTCATCTCTGCCCCACAGACAGAGGACACGCTCAATCCAGGGCAGGGGACCGAAGCTCAGTGAGACAGATAGCAGGGCAGTTAAGTGGCAGAAGCCAGACCACAGCAGGAAGAGTATAAGTCAACTGAAAAGATGAGCCAGACAGAATAGGCAGGCTGTTGTCCTGCACTCGGGTTCCTCCACAACCTGGTGCACAAAAAGAATAGGAGAAATCAGAGAGAAGCTGAGGAACTGCTGATGACCACTATGTTTAACAAGAGAGCTCACAAAACACAAACTCTTGGGCTGGAGAAACCAAAACAGAGGCTTCTCATCCATTTGTTTATGCACACCCTGAGCACAGGGAACAGATGCTTGCAGTCCCAGGCACCGCTCAGGTATGGAGATCTGCTTATCGGTAAGGGAGACGCTAACAGCCAGAGCGCAGCAAGGGTAAGTCAGGAGTGGTGGCTGAGGAAATAGTGGCTAAGGAGCCATTCTAACAGGCAAGAGAGGCTGGCGGAGCCACATAAAGAACAATGCACATGGCTGGGTGTGGTGGCTCATGCCTGTAATCCCAGCACTTTGGGAGGTCGAGGTGGGCGGATCACCTGAGGTCAGGAGTTTGAAACCAGACTGACCAACATGGTGAAACCCTGACTCTACCAAAAATACAAAAATTAGCCAGGTGAGGTGGCACACACCTTTAGTCCCAGCTACTCAGGAGGCTGAGGCATACGAATTGCTTGAACCCAGGCAGCAGAGATTGCAGTGAGGTGAGATCGCACCACTGCACTCCAGCCTGGGTAACACAGTGAAACTCCATTTAAAAAAAAAATAGAACAACACACAGGTAGCCCAGGCAGCTACTGTATACCTGGCCAAGTGACTGTTTGTCTGTTTGTACCAGGGACAGTGGGCATTAGCTATTCTAAAGAAAATAGGAGTTGGGCGTGGTGGCTCACACCTGTAATCCCAGCACTTTGGGAGGCCAAGGCGGGTGGATCACGAGGTCAGGAGTTCGAGACCAGCCTGGCCAAAATGGTGACACCCCATCTCTACTAAAAATACAAAAATTAGCCAGGTATGGTGGTGTGCGCCTATGGTCTCAGCTGCTTGGGAGGCTGAGGCAGGAGAATCACTTGAACCTGGGAGGTGGAGGTTGCAGTGAGCCGAGATCACACCATTGCACTCCAGGCTGGGCGACTGACTGAGCAAGACTCTCTCTCAAAAAAAAAAAAAAAAAAAAGAAAAAAGAAAAAGGAAAAGAAAAAGAAAATAGGATACGGAGGCAAAAGCAGATCCATCAGGGCTCTGCTTGTGAGGCTACAATGTGGTCACTGCAAGATTCACCTGCTGAGGATCTGCCAGAACAGAGTGAGGAGGCACAAGGAAAGGAAGCAGGCATCAACTCCGTGAACACCACTTTACGTTTTAAGGACAGGCAGGGCCTCCCACGATGGGCAACTCTCAGGAGTCCCTCCAGGTAAACACTCACTATATGCCACTTGCTATGCCTGGAGCAACCCAGACTCCTTAATGGACATCCCAGCTGGGTGCCTTCAGGAGGAAGCCTTCATCTAGACTGGCGTTTAGGGACTCCCCAAGACCTGCCCTTTCTGAAAGAATACCCCAACTCATTTCCATCCCCAGAAGGAATGAGATCATGGTTGACAAAGGAAATGTTAAAGGTATAAATATATATATATATATATATCTTTAAAGATATATATATTATATATATATATAAATATAAAATATATGTACATATATATTTTTGAGACACAGTCTTGCTCTGTCCCCTAGGCTGAAGTGTAATGGTGTGATCACAGCTTACTGCAGCCTCGACTTCCCGGGTTCAAGTGACCCTTCTGCCTCAGCCTCCGGAGTGGCTGGGACTACAGGCATGTGCCACCATGCCTGGCTAATTTCTTATATATTTTGTAGAGATAGGGTTGTACTATGTTGCCCAGGCTGGTCTCAAACTCCTGGGGGCTCAAGCGATCCTCCCATCTCAGCCTCTCAGAGTGCTGGGATTATAGGCACGAGCCACTGAACCTGGCCAAGAACACAATTTTTAAAAGAAAAAAGGACATGGTCACAGTATGTAATATTTATGGACCAAAAATAGAAAACAATTTAACACTCAACTTAAAGGTAATAGTTAATCAGATTATAGACTACCTACTCAGTGACATATCATGTAAGCATAAAAAAAGAATTTACTGTGCCTTATGTGGCACAAGGAAATGCTTCCAACATAAAATAAAGCAGGACCAGTCAGGTGCAGTGGCTCACACCTGTAATTCTACCATTTTGGGAAGTGGGGCAGACAGATCGCTTGAGCCCAGGAGTTTGAGACCAGCCTGGGCAACACAGCAAAACACTATCTCTACAAAAAATACCAAAATTAGCTGGGCGTGGTAGGGCATGCCTGTAGTCCCAATTATGCGGGAGGCTGAGGTGGGAGGGCCACCTGTATCCAGGAGGTGGAAGTTGCAGTGAGCTGAAATTGTTCCACTGCACTCCAGCCTAGGTGACAGAGTGAGACCATATCTTAAAAAAATAAAATAAAATAAAGCAGGATCCACAATTCTATCCACATATAAAGTATTAAACTACATAAAATTAGTAAGCTGACAAAAATTAAATATTAATATGGTAGGATCTTGGCTGTTTTTCAAAATGTTATTTAAATGTTATATTGTTCTTGCAATTCAAGCCAGAAGGAAAAATAAATCCATCTCTATTCTTTCACAATTTCGTATGTAAAAAAAATCTCAAAAAGATCTACAAAAGAGCTACTAGAATAAGTGAGCTTAGCAAGGTTTATTACAAGGTCAATCTATAAGTCAAATTTCAAATATTACAAGGTAAACCTACAAATCAAATAGCAATCAAATTTCTACATATCAGCAATGAATTGAAAGTTTTTAAAAGTATCATTCACTATAGTACTAAAAACATGAAAAACTTAAGTGTAAATCTAACAAAATATGTGTAGGATCTGTGTTGAAAACTACAAAACACTAATAAATCAAAGACCTACATCAGTGAAGTGACATACTGCGTTCATGAATCAGAAGACTTGATATTGTTAAGATGTCAATTTTCTCAAACTAATCTCAAACTAACCTATAGATTCTACAGATTTGATAGATCTATAGACCCAAGGCTCTCTCGCTCAAAATCTCAGCACGAATTTTTAAAAAACTTGATAGACTGATTCTAAAATTTATATGCAAAAGCAAAGAAACTAACAATTCTGGAAAAAAGAACAAACCTGGAGGACTAATATTTCAAGATTGCTACTATCCAGTAATCAAGACTGCATTGCTGGGCCAGGCACGGTGGCTAAGGCCTGTAATTCCAACACTTTGAGAGGCCGAGGCAGGTGGATCACATGAGGTCAGGAGTTTGAGACCAGCCTAGCCAACATGGTGAAACCAGTCTCTACTAAAAATACAAAAAGACTGTGCTGCTGAATGAAGTTTAGATGTATAGACCAATGGAACAGAATGAGAGTCCAAGAGTCCAGAAATAGAGCCACAGTAGATGGCCAACTGATTTTCAGTAAAGGTACAAAGGCATTTCAATAGAGAAAAAATAGTCCTGGCGCGGTGGCTCACACCTGTAATCCTAGCACTTTGGAAGGCTGAGGCAGGCGGATCACCTGAGATCGGGAGTTCAAGACCAGCCTGGACAACATGGTGAAATCCTGTCTCTACTAATAATACAAAAATTAGCCGGGCATAGTGGTACATGCCTGTAATTCCAGCTATTTGGGAGGCCAAGGCACGAGAATCGCTTGAATCTGGGAGGTGGGGGTTGTGGTGAGCCGAGATCGCGCCATTGCACTCCAGCCTGGGCAACAAGAGCGAAACTCTGTCTTAAAAAAGAAAGAAAGAAAGAAAGAGGGCGGGAGCAGTGGCTCACGCCTGTAATCCCAGCACTTTGGGAGGCCAAGGTGGGCAGATCACGAGGTCAGGAGATTGAGACTATCCTGGCTAACACGGTGAAACCCCGTCTCTACTAAAAATACAAAAAAATTAGCCTGGCGTGGTGATGGGCGCCTGTAGTCCCAGCTGCTCAGGAGGCTGAGGAGGGAGAATGGTGTGAACTCGGGAGGTGGAGCTTGCAGTGAGCTGAGATCGCGCCACTGCACTCCAGCCTGGGGGACAGAGTGAGAAAAAAAAAAAAAAAAAGAAAGAAAAAATAGCTTTTTTTTTTTTCTTTTTAAACAAATGGTGCTGGAACAATTGTATATCTACATGCAATACAAGAAGAAACCTTAGCCGATACTGCACACCTTGTGGAAAAATTAACTCAATATGGATCACAGACTAAATGTAAAACCTTAAACTAAAACACCTAAAAGAAAATTCAAAAGAAAAATCTTATAGATTTATTAGATAAAAAAGCAAAATCATCATCTATTAAAGAAAAGATTGAATTCGGCTTCAAAATTAACAACTTGTATTCTTTCAAAGATACTGACAAGAGAATAGACAAGCCACAGTCTGGGAGAAAACATTTGTAAACGGCACATCCGAGAAATGGCTTGTACTCAGAATACATAACCCAGAGGGAAAAGAATTCAAAAGGATGTGCAATTAGGGACTATATTTGATGAAAGGAAGAGGCAGGGAGGGCAGGACAGGGAAGCCAAGCAAACCAAGTTTCTCCTCATTTATGAAACACCCGATACCTTCTCACCCAATTTCAAAATATTTTAAGTCTTCCCTTTTTCTGGGAGTAGCTGCTGCTACTTGGGAAGCTTACTTAAGTCCCTTTATGCAGTGATCCCTGAGGGCATGTTAGCTGTGTAGGATCAGTCTTTCCCCAGATCTTGGTAGTAAAAGAAATTACCCATCTCAGTAACTAAGACATTATCCTTGTTAATTCCAAAGAGGGCTCCTTCTCAACAGACACCCCTAGAGTCACAGACAACCAAAGACCAGCTTTATCAGCAGTTCCGGGCTGCCACAGCACACAGACAAAACAGACAAAACAGCATCTGTGAATCCTACTGGTGGCTACTTCTGAATTAGCTAATTAAGTGTTTCTGTCCACACTGGAAAACTCAATCAGAGATCTTCACTCAACTCCGTGTGTGTGGAGCCCGCTGGCTTGAGGTGGCCTGGCTGAGTCTCCGAAAGCTGCTAGATTCACATACTCAGCCTCTCTCCCACAGCAAGGACACGCACTACGCTGGGACTAAGTTAACAGCTTGCTCTCTCCTGGACCAATCCTTTGGACTTTTTTTTTTTTTTTTTTTTTTGATATGGAGTCTTGCTCTATTGCCAGGCTGGAGTGCAATGGCGTGATCTCGGCTCACTGTAACCTCTGCCTCCAGGGTTCAAGCGATTCCCCTGCCTCAGCCTCCTGAGTAGCTGGGACTATAGGTGGGTGCCACCATGACCAGCTAATGTTTTGTATTTAGAAGAGATGGCGTTTCACCATGTTGGCCAGGATGGTCTCTATCTCCTGACGTCAGGTGATCCACCCGCCTCGGCCTCCCAAAGTGCTGGGATTACAGGCGTGAGCCACTGTGCCCTCCTTTGGACTTTAATTGGTCACTCTGAGTCCCAGTCCCTCTCTCATGGGGATTTGAAGCCAGGCCTTTTGTCAAAGAGCCTAACTTGCTCAGGAACACAGCTACTTTTCCCATAACTGTCTGAAAGGGAAGCACTAGCTATTCAAATGGCCACACCATTTCACACAAGTTTAGGTTTAAAAAAGCATGACAGGATGACAGCAAAGCCAAAGGCAACTAAGACGACAAGGAACTGCTCTGCAAAACACTTTGGTTCCCACCAGAGGCCCACACTTACCATAATCACAGGTGGGCTGAGCACTGGTATCCGAGTATGTCGACTGCAAAGTGGTTTCAGATCCCTGGACAAAGCCTAAACATAAAGACAGTGCGGTTAATTTCCCCAAGCAAGTCACAGGGAAATGACCTGAGACTACCTAACCTTTGGTATGGGATTGCCAGCAGGCCCTTCTCTCAATGAAAAGCCATCAAAACCTCTAGATTCCACAGTTTAATTAGACTGTCAGAAAATATTAACCAATGGAAAGGCAGGTTACGTTTAACTTGCTATACCAGGAGGACTAGATTAAAAAATTAAAAAATTATTTATTTACTTTTTAAAAACAGGGTCTCACTCTGTCTGGGCTGGAATGCAGTGGCATGATCACGGCTCAGTGCAACCTCGCCTTCCAGGCTCAAACGATCCTCCTGCCTCAGCCTCCCAAGTAGCTGAGACTATAGGTTCATGCCATCATGTCCAGCTAATTTTTATATTTTTTGTAGAGATGGGGTTTCATCATGTTGCCCAGGCTGGTCTTTAATTCCTAGACTCAAGCAATCCACCCTCCTGAACCTCCCAAAGTGTTGGGATTACAGGCATGAGCCACAGAGCCTGGCCCCAAATAAAAATTTTTAAACATTTAGGTCAGTAGCCTATTCTGATAAATGAACACCCAAGTTATCATTCTGTTAAATGAGGAAACTATTCAAATTCCTGAAAAGTGAGCCACTTGGAATTCAAATAAGGATGGAGGTTAGCTTCCAAACCATGTTAAAGCAAAGAATACCCCCTCTCCCCGTCCTAAATCTGAAACACAAACTGCTTTATATTTTGGTTTTCCATTAAAAAGCGTGTATAACAATTATTTCTGGGCCGGGTGGCTATTTGTAATTTTCAGGTCATGAGTTGGCTCTGATGGGAAAGGCAAATATTGCCTCTTTTGGGCAGTACTTTGGGAGGCCAACGTGGGCAGATCACGAGGTCAGGAGATCGAGACCATCCTGGCTAACATGGTGAAACCCCATCAGGTGAATCCCCACCAGGTTGGGATTACAGGCAAATATGCTTGTCATCCCAACACTTTGGGAGGCCAAGGTGACTAGCCTGGGAAACAGGGCGAAACCTTGTCTCTACAAAAAAAAAAAAAAAAAAAAAGTCGGCTGTGGCAGCATATGCTTGTAGTCCTAGCTACTTGGGAGGCTGAGGTGGGAGTGTCACTTGAGCCCACAAGATCAAGGCTGCAGTGAGCTATGATTGCGCCACTGCATTCCAGCCTGGGTGACAGAGCAAGACCCTGTCTCAACAAAAAACAAAAAACAATTATTTCTTTTTTCTTTTTTTTGAGACGGAGTCTTGCTCTGTCGTCCAGACTGGAGTGCAGCGGCCGGATCTCAGCTCACTGCAAGCTCCGCCTCCCGGGTTTACGCCATTCTCCTGCCTCAGCCTCCCAAGTAGCTGGGACTACAGGTGCCCGCCACCTCGCCCGGCTAGTTTTTTGTATTTTTTAGTAGAGACGGCGTTTCACTGTGTTAGCCAAGATGGTCTCGATCTCCTGACCTCGTGATCCGCCCGTCTCGGCCTCCCAAAGTGCTGGGATTACAGGCTTGAGCCACCGCGCCCGGCCAAAACAATTATTTCTTAAAAGTAATTATTTGGGGTTGGCATGTTCATATGGAAATAAGTATTATTATGTACACATAAAATTTCCTATCTTCTCAACTCTCAAACTGTTTCTCAACATAAAATGAATTAGGGCTGAGTACTGGCTCATGCCTGTACTCAGTACTTTGGGAGGCCAACGGGGGTCGATTGGTTGAGGCCAGGAGTTCAAGACCAGCCTGGCCAACATGGTGAAACCCCATCTCTACCAAAAATACAAAAATTAGGCCGGGTACGGTGGCTCATAATCCCAGCACTGTAATTTCAGCACTGAGTGGCTGAGGCAGGTGGATCATGAGGTCAGGAGTTCTGGCCAATATGGTGAAGCCCTATTTTCTCTACTAAAAATATAAAAATTAGCTGGGTGTGGTGGTGTGTGCCTGTAGTCCCAGCTGCACAGGAGGCTGAGGCAGAAGAATCGCTTGAACCCAAGAGGTAGAGGTTGCAGTGAGCCAAGATCATGCCACTGCATTCCAGCCTGGGCAACAGAGCAAGACTCTGTCTCAAAACAAACAAACAAACAAACAAAATCCCAAAATTAGTTGGGCCCGGTGGCGCCTGCCTGTAATTCCAGGTTCTTGGGAGGGTGAGGGAGAAGAACTGCTTAAACCCAGGAGGCGGAGGTTGCAGTGAGTGGAGATCGTGCCACTGCACTCAAGCCTGGGTAACAGATCAAGACTCCATCTCAAAATAAATAAATAAATGAAATAAAATAAAATGAGTTAGTGTCAAGTAAAGAAAACTTCTACCTCTATCAGAAACCACTGCTCCTACAGACTATTATTAATCCTAATCCTGCCACTTGCTTTAAAACTACATTTAAAAAAAAAACCTCTGCAGTTAGAAATACATATATATATATTTATTTTGAGACGGAGTCTCGCACTAGGCTGGAGTGCAGTGGCACAATCTCGGCTCGTTGCAACCTCCGCCTCCCGTATTCAAGCGATTCTCCTGCCTCCGCTTTCTGAGTAGCTGGGACTACAGGCGCGTGCCACCGTGTCCGGCTACTTTTTTTTCTATTTTTCGTAGAGATGGGGTTTCACCATGTTAGCCAGGACGGTCTCAATCTCCTAAATTTGTGATCCACCCACCTCGGCCTCCCACAGTGCTGGGATTACAGGCGTGAGCCACCGCGCCCAGCCAGAAATACATATTTTTGAATAATTTTCTCTCAGCACTGAAATTTTGACAGATACCATAAGAGGCAGGATTTGCCTTTCCCATCAGAGCCAACTCATGACCTGAAAATTAAAGCCTTTGCCTCTAACAGCTTGTTTATATAAAAAACCTACAGAAATGCCTTCTCTTCTGTGGGTAGGCGTTCTCTTATTCGTTGACAGTCTATTTTATCTCTTAAGACCACAGCAGCAGCAGCCAACACTGAACAAGGGCTTTCCCTGCAGGATGCCAAGAACATTTATCTGCAATGATCTCATTTCATCCTCACCACAGATAAGGAGGACAGGTGGGCAAGATCCCTTACTCTGCAATTCCCCCAGGTACAAAACAGTCTGAAGACCAAGTGTTTTCTACCAGTGTGGTGCCAAAACTCATGTTGCAGCTGTTTTCACCTGTGAGAACATTTATAATCTTTCTTTGTCCTACTTAGTGCAGAATTAATGTATTTAAATACAGGGTGCTTCCCCAGACCCCACATGACTTCTCTTAAGCTAGAATTCCAAAATACATCTAGCTCCAAGGGTTCCAAAGAAGGAGCTGTGAACCCAGCTTCATCTTCACTTTCCAGAGTAGGGACTGGGCCCTGAGGAAGGATAAAACCCGAGGACACACAGATCCAGTCTTCTACCTTCCCTAAGTAAAGAGGGTAGGAATCCATTGAAATGGATTCCTTCCAGGGATCTGGACCTTCCTGAGATGCCTAAAATCCAGGCATTGTTGGTTAATAGCTATCTATAAGAAATACTGACAGCAGCTTCGAAGAGTTCACCCAGGGGAAAGCCTTATAATGTAAGAAGGACCCAGCCCGTGGTCTCCACTGTTTGCTCGACTAGCTTCTGGAAACTTGTTCTTTCAGCAATTGGGTCAGCAGTAAGATGGCCTCAGATTTCAGGTAATGTGGTCTGTGAGTACTGCAACGGCAAATGGCAGCCTACCACACCCTCACAAGAACACAGTCAGCAAGCTGCTGAGCAAAACATCTGTGTCTGTTCAGGGGAGAGGGGCCCTGGTTCTTCCCTAGGAAGGAAAGACGATCCATCAAACCCTCCAAATCAACGGCAATCTCTGCTCTAACTCTGTCCCCTGCACCACATGGACATTCTGCTCCACAATACTGTCTGCAAAGATCGCAGGGCAGGCCCTTCTAGAGCCAGTTTTGGCTCCTATTATGAATAAATTCTTTTTTTTTTTTTTTGAGACGGAGTCTCCCTCTGTCTCCCAGGCTGGAGTGCAGTGGCGCGATCTCGGCTCACTGCAAGCTCCGCCTCCCGGGTTCAAGCGATTCTCCTGCCTCAGCCTCCCGAGTAGCTGGGACTACAGGCGCCCTTGCCCGGCTAGTTTTTCGTATTTTTTTAGTAGAGACGGGGTTTCACCGTGTTCACCAGGATGGTCTCGATCTCCTGACCTCGTGATCCACCCGTCTCGGCCTCCCAAAGTGCTGGGATTACAGGCGTGAGCCACCGCGCCCGGACTTTTTTTTTTTTTTTTTGAGATGGAGTTTGGCTCTTATCGCCCAGGCTGGAGTGCAGTGGTGCGATCTCAGCGCACCGCAACCTCCGCCTCCTGGGTTCAAGCGATTCTCCTGCCTCAGCCTCCCGAGTAGTGGGGACTACAGGCATGCGCCACCACGTCCAGCTGATTTTGTATTTTAGTAGAGATAGGGTTTCTCCATGTTGGTCAGGCTGGTCTCAAACTCCCAACCTCAGGGGATCCGCCCGCCTGGGTCTCCCAAAGTGCTGGGATTACAGGCGTAAGTCACTGTGCCCAACCTAAATTCTTAGCTGGTTTATAAAGTGTTCTCTTGGTACAATTTACCAGCCTGATTAGCTCTGGATGAAAAAATAAAATATGCCCTATATGGCCCTATAAAGCTAAGTGTCAGATCATGGATTTCTTTCTATTTTCATTAGAGACAGGAGGTCTCACTGTCATCCAGGCTGGAGTGCAGTGGCACAATCACTGCTCACTATGTCCTCAGACTCTGGGGCTCAAGCGATCCTCCTACTTCAGTCTCTTGTGTAGGTGGGACTATAGTCACACACCACCAGGCCCAGCTAATTTTTGTTTTCTTTTTTCTTTTCTTTTTTTTTTTTGAGAGACAGGGTCTCACTATGTTACCCATGCTGATCTTGAATTCCTGGGCTTAAGCAATCCTCTCACTCTGAGACCATGGATTTCTAGTTCTGCAGCAACACTCCTTGCTTTTAACCAATCTCTCTTGTTAACTTTTTTTGCTCAAAGATACAAAAGCAGGCCAAATACTGGGGCTCATGTCTGTAACACCAGTACTCTGGGAGGCTGAGTTGGGAGGATCGCTTGAGCCCAGGAGTTCAAGACCTGCCTGGCAACATAGTGAGACCTCATCTCAGAAATAAAAAATTAGCCAGGCATGGTGGCATGCACATGCAGTCACAGCTACTTGGGAGGCTGAGGTGAGGTGGGAGGATCACCTGAGCACAGGAGGGCAAGGCTGCAGTGAGCTATGATGGCACCACTGCATTTCAGCCTGGGCAACATAGTGAGACCCTGTCTCAACAAAACAAAAGTTTCTCAGTGTTATACTTTTCCTTCTTTTTCCTTTTTAAAAAAGAGTATATATTTTCTTGAGACAGGATATTGCTCTGTTGCCCAGGCTGGAGTGCAGTGGCATGGTCATAGCTCAGCAATGTTGAACTCCCGGGCTCCAGCAAACCTCCCAGAGTCTCGCTGTCATCCAGGCTGGAGCGCAGTGGCGCAATCATGGCTCACTGCAGCCTCGATCTCGCATAGTTAACTTTTTATTTTTAATTTTTATAGAGAAAGGGTCTTGCTGTGTTGCCCAGGCTCTTCTCAAACTCCCGGCCTCAAGCAATCTTCCTGCCTTGGCCTCCCAAAGTGTTGAGATTACAGGTGTGAGCCACCATGCCTGATCTAAAAAAAAGAGTCTTATTTGAAGGAGTAACAGAGAGTGCCAAAAATTAAAGGATAACTGGAATTAGGTTAGGTTGCCTCCAACCTTTATTATCTGAGCCAAAAGTAGGGTGACAACCATCCTCCAAGATAGTCTCCAATCATTCTTGCCTCTTAATGTTATGTAGATCCCTCCCAACTAATAGAGGTAGCCGGTGCAACCAATAAGATCTATGAAAATGACTGAGTGTGACTTCTGGGATTTCTGCCTTGCTCTTTCTGGGATCATTCAGTCTGGGGAAAACCAGCCACCATGTTGTGAGGACTCTCTAGCAGCCAGCCATAGGGAGAGATCCATGGGGCCAAGAATTAACGGCCAGCATCAGCCCACCAGGCATGGGAGTTTAAGTCACCTTGGAGGTGGGACCTCCAGCCTCAGTCAGGCTTTCAGATGACTCTAGTCCAGATAGAGATCCTAAATGTAACCTCATGATATTCCAAGCTAGAACCACCCAGCGAAATCACCTGTCCATTCCAAACATAAGGAAACTGTGTGAGACAATAAATATTTCTGTGATAAGTGCGGTAGCATGTCAGACCTTTGTTTGAGGGCCTGATTCTGGATATTTCTGTCCTGTTTTCCACTGCTCTCCTCTTCCCCTCTCAGTGCTAGAGATGCGGCTTCCTTTCCCACGTATAAATAAAGTAACTGGGTTCAAAAGCAGGGCGAGTTAATAAAAAGATTTACTAGTCACCTTTTATGTTTAATAATGGTTAACATTTGCTTCGAGGCCTCTAGGACTTACTCTTAAAGCTAGTAGTTGTCTGAAATGTGACTTAAAATGCCTTTGACTTTAGTGCCCTACTTCTTAAAAGGGGAAGACTCACATTATAAATTACTGTGGTTTTCAGTTTATCAAGATAAAGGAAAAACAAATCATTACTTTATTAGCTTGGCTATCTCAGTGCCCACCCAAACCCAGAACTACAGCCTACAAGATCTACAGCTGGAATTCAGGTTGGGTCATTAGTGACCTTGTAACTCAGTTTCCTCATCTATTAAAGAAAAAGAGCTCCATTACTCAGCTACCCCACAGCACCCAACCATTCATCTTCTGGTTTCTTCAGCAGTCCTGTTTTTAAAAACCATGAAACTGTCTTCCAGTTCTTGGTAAGACTCGGTGAGAATTATATTCCAATCCCAGAGAGGTGAGTAACAACCCTATAGTCTGTCCTCCTGAACTAGGAAAGTTACAGAAAGGCTCTGGCAGAGCTGCCCAACCTGGACACTACTGATGTTTGAGGCCAGATACTTCTTTGCAGTAGGTGTCATTGTGTATACCGTAGCAGGGCAGCATCCCAAGCCTCCATCCACTAGATACCAGAAGCACTCCCTCTCCCATATGTGACAACCAAAAATGTCTCCAGACATTGCCAGATGTCCTCTGGGGGCAGAATCACCCTTGGCTGAGAAGCCATTGGGCTGGGGGATGGTTGCTAGAAAAAACTGGGGTTCTTGGAAAGCTCCTGACCTGGGAGCCAGGGTAGAGGGGACTGGCACTACCTTCTTGCCTATGCAAACATAAAGTAGTCTACAAAGGAGCTCCAGAGATTCATGTTCCATTCTCAGTTCTCAACATTCCAAGTAGAATGCAGGTTACCTGGCAACCACACACGCTCAAGCCTGTAATACCCTCACCAAATGGGGAGGCCTAGTCTAAGTCTCCTGGCTGAGAATCCTCATCAGTCACTGCCAAGGGAAACCCAGGAGGCCTTGGCAATTCACCCAGTGATGATTTACAGTCGCCCAAGCATATTGCGGGGGGCGGAGAGGGGCTCTCGGATCTTATCACCCACTCTCCCTTTCAAATCTCATTGGCCTCCCACTGGCCTCTTTGGCTGATCTTCTAACAAGCCAGGCAGTTCCTGCCCGTAAGCCTTTTACAGCAAAAGCTCCCTGGGCCAGATATCTTTATTCTCTCACTCCATTTAGGTCTCTGCTCAAATGTCACCACTTTACAGAGGGCTCCAACCACTCCATGTAGTGGAGCGACCCCCGCACGGTACTGACCACCCTAAAATATATCCTACACTCGCTTATTTGCCTATTAAGATCAGTCCTCGCCTCTAAGCTGCTTGATGAAGTCTTGTCTGTATTCCCGGTGCCCAATCTGCACCAGACACGGTTCATTTGACAGACGTAGAGAGAATTAACGTGGAACCTTGTCATTCCTTGCAGTTCAGCCCCCTAGGGGCCCAAGACTCCCCGCTCAGCCCAAACCTTTCCAATATTTACTTATCCCCCTAGGGCCTGGCGCCTCTCCCAGTTCTGAAATAGACAAAAGGGGGTGGTGGGTGGGATCGGGATGGAGGTGTAGAGCTGCGGCGTTTTTGCAGAGAAACTGCGCGGGGGAGGACGCGACAATGGCGACGGCAGCCGAGCCTGCTGACTGCTCGTAAGGACCAAGGCCTGAGAAAGGGAAACCTAAGGCGTTGAGGTCCACGAGCGCAGGCCAGGGACTGAGGTGGTGGGGGCGGAGACCTCGCGCGCTGAGGCCCGGGCCCACGGACACAGGCGACAGAAGCCAAGACCTCAGGCGGCTGGGAGCCGGGACGCCGGCTGCAGGCACAGAGAGCTGAGGCAACGAGGCGTGAGAGAAGCGACCCTGAGGCGACGGGCCAGCGGCGCCATTTTGTGACCGCAGGGAGGGCAGTGAACGGGCCCCAGAGGAGGTGCGGGCAAGCCTGGTGCGGCATCCGCACCTCCCTGTCCCATCCCCCACGCAGAGCCCGACCCCACCCTGCCAGGCCCACCTGTGTAGCTCATGATGGCGGGTAACACAACATCCGAGGACGCCGGCGGCTGCTGCTCTGCACATCCGACGCTGCAATAGCGGCTGCTAACCACAGGGTCTCCTCGACACACACCCGAGCCCCGCCTCCCGACCGCATTGGCCCATACCGGCCTTGGCTTCACGCCTATTGGATGATACCGCTGTCTATCTCTATGCCTCCTCCTATCAGTGGCTGGAAGCGGCTGGCAATCTCGTGAGAGCCCCGCCTTGTCCCCGCCTTCTGTTAGTCTAAGGCCTCAGTGATTGGCCTAGAGAAGCCGGCAGAGAGGCGGAGTCCTATAGCATTCGAGGGGGCGGAGCTGTGCACTACGGAAAGGCCCAAGGCCCAAGCGCGGTCGGGCTGGAGGAGCGCCAGTGCCCTGGAGACCCGCCAGAGGGAGCCGGGTCTACGGCTCAGGGCACGGCTGGGATGCCAGCTCCGCGGAGGTGCTGGATAAACCTAGCTACGTGTCTCAACTTCTCTGGCCTTCGGCTCCAAAATAAGCATAGCAAAGCCATGTTGGAATGAGAAAATTAAAACTCGGCACCAAACAAGATGCTGGACACACGTTTCAACATTACATGACAAAACGTGTGTAAAGGAATCATTCCGGGGCCAGTGCACTGAATAAACGTGATTAATCGTCACAAAACGGTAACAAATATATTTATAGGGCATATGCTTATATGTGTAATAATTCCGTTTGTATCGTGTGCCATTCAAATGCTCCTTCAAACCTGCAAGAAGCTTTTAATCCCCACTTAAAACTGAAGCCTGGAACTCATGATTTGCTCAAGGTCCTTGACAGTTACGTGTTAAAATGGGAACTTTGCTTCTAAAACCATCTTGATTCACTCTGGACTCCAGAGATCCTGCAATAGTGCAGCCGGGCACCAGTCATGTCCTCAGTCTGTTTCCTGGGCATACGGAAACCCCTGCCAGGGACAATTCATAATTGCTAGAGATGACAGAGCTACCCCAAAAAAGTACTTAACATGTGTTTGTGAAAACTCATCAAGCTGCGCAATTACGACTTCTACACTTCGTATGTTTTAATACTTTTTTTAAGGTATGCTGCTGCTTTTTGATATTTCTTTCTTTAGGTGTAATAGTGGCATTTAAAACATTCAGAGAAACATACTGAAATACTAAGACGTTAACTGATCTTATGGCCAGGATGTGCTTCACACAATTCAGACAGGTAGAGAGCGAAGGAGGAAGCAAGGAGCTATAAGATAAACCTCTTACAGCTGAAGACATTGGTCATGGGTTGGTAAGTGATGGGTAGATGAGGGTCCATTTTACTGTTTGCTGTACTTTTGTATAGTTGGAATTCTCCATGATAAACTGTTTTAATAAAACTCCCCCACCCAGATGAGGCTTCTGCAGAACTTGCTGTCATATGGAACAAAGCCACTTATGATGTGTTAAGTGAGCAACTCCACACATGAAGCAGAGATCTGACAGATAAGCACTCTGGCTTTGGGGTTCATCTCCCTGTCAGCCTCCGGGATGCCTGCCTGTCTTTCAAACCAAGGCAGGGCCCTGCAGGTTCGTTCCTTCATGGCACTTGCCACAGCCATCATTGTACCCTGATTTGATTTCGTTTACATCCAACACCCTCACAGAGAGCACAGCTCAAAGGCTGAGACTTTGCTGCCTGAGGTGCATTAAAATGGCTTGAGCAGAGAAGAGCAATGCTCAGAAAGTTTTAGGAAAACATCCCCCTGCAAGAACTGGAGGCGACTCTTCCAGGGACACACGTGACCCTCACTTCACTGCATGATTGGTGGGGAGGAACTTGCCATGTGACTTTATAAGCTCTTGTATCATTTGTTTTTTGTTACATCTAGCCTATACCACTTTTATATTTCAAAAACTGACTTATGGGCCAGGCATAGTGGCTCATGCCTATAATCCCAGCATTTTGGGAGGATGATTGCTTGAGCTCAGGAGTTCAAGACCAGCCCGGGCAACATGGTGAAACCCCCGTCTCTACAAAAATTACAGAAATAAGCCAGGAGTGGTGGTGCACACCTGTGATCCCGGCTACCTGGATGGCTGAGGCAGGAGAATCACTTGAACCCAGGAGGCAGCAAGGTCCTACCACTGCATTCCAGCTTGGGCAACAGAATGAGACCGTCTCAAAAAATAAAAAAATAAAAACTGACTTATGAAAAGTTGAAAGAGGAAGAAACACCTTTGAGTCAGCTCACAAGATGCTCTTCCTGCTTCCTAAGTCTTGGATACATCCACCCACCCACAGCACAGGATGGACAGAAGTGGTTGCAGCCTTCTGCTACCAGGCAAGATGTGCGTCCTGACCCCACAGGAGCAGATGTGCGGGCCAAGACCACCCTTGTGGGCGTGTTATTGCAGCCTGTTAACCCCTCCTTCCCAGGAAGGGGTATGATGGGAGGGCCCAGAAAGCAGGGCTGGGAGTAGAGGTGGCCCCTTCTGTCCACACGCCATGAGGTCATTCCCACTTTCCAGCACTTGGCCGTTTAGTGAAAAGGATGAGCTGAAAAACCACATGCAATAAACAAGAAGGAGCAGCCAACAAAATCTCTTAAAATCTCAGAAATGTTCAATAAACATTTGCAGAGCAAGAAAATAAATAACATCGCAAAGGAGCCAGCGGCTCCTCTTTTCCCATGTTCCTTGGGTTAGGGGTGCATGTGTCTAACTAGAAGTCACGTGTATTAAAAGCAGGTGAGTTCTAGCTCTCTACACCCCCACTGCCCCCACCAAATGCTCCCAGTGGGTCCCTGACACCTTCGCTGGTAGCTCCTGCCCTTGATAAGCTCCCCTAGCCTTCAACTGCTTCTTGATCCTGGCTCCCTTCCCAGACGGGCTGCCCAGAACCCTGGTTCGTCTGCTCACTGGAGCCGCTTTGCCAGCCAGCCAGAGCCCCCCCACCAACCATGGCATAAAGCGCCAACAGCTGGGAACTTGGGCTCATCCCCAGCTGCGTCTGGTTTGCTTGGCGGCCAACGGGAAAACCCAGGGCCTCCATGGCTCTGGACAGAGGAGGCCCCGATCCCAGCCCCGGCTGCCAGCCAATGCCAGCCTGTCCACTCGACAGAAAAACACACGCTGGCTGCCTGCCCCAGGGCGTTTCCAGAAGAGAAATTTAATCTAATTTACATACTTCTAGGTACATCGATAACCAAAATGTGGCCACTGAAAAAAGTTAAAAGGTCAATCAGCTCCCGGCTTCTAGCTGGCCCAGGATTGCAAAATAAAAAGATCCACGTTCCTTATTCTCTACACAAAACGCGTTTTTAAAAAAGTGAAAGGTCTAGGGAGCTATACATAGAAAGCAACAGTGAAAAGGGAGAGGGAGCAGGAGTGGGGGAGGAGAGTCCCACCCCCCAACCCCACCCTCCAGGGCCCCAGAGCCCCTGAGGCTCTTTGGGGGGCCTTGACATGGCAGGAGGCAGCTGTCAGCTCTGAGCTCTTCCCAGCTGGGAAGGCCCCTCTGGGGGGCAACCAACAAGGATTTCCGTGGCATTGTGGGCTCAGTGGGGGGCTCCCAAGCCCCAGCAGGCCCCACAGAGGGAGCGTGGCTTCCCCTGAGCAAGCACCGTGGCATGATGTGGTCGTTCAACCCGGGAACTGGGGGTCCGGGGCAGGTCCCGGGTCTCACGAGGTGCGTGTGTGTGTGTTCGCATGTACATGCGTGTGAGAGGATATTCATGGGGGCGAGAGGGAACCAGAACAGGGGTCTTTGGGGTCTTTGCAAATGGCCACGGATGGCAGACATTGCCCTGCCTGGCTGCTAGACGGGGGAGTGCTGTCCTCCCCGTGACCAGATCGGCTGCCACCAGAGACCTGGCTGCTGCCCCTGCTGGACCAGGTGGGCATGGGCTGAAGGAAGACACCCTGTGGCCCCAGAGTCCTCAGGCTGGGGGAAGGGCAGCTAGCTGGCTCCCGGCGCCCTGGCTGTAGTGTGCCCGGCCCCCAAGGGGCGCCGGTTTGAGGTTTTGGCTTGCTCCTTTGGAAACGGAAAGAAAGAGGAAGAGGGACGAGGACACAGAGGAGGAAGAAGAGGAGACAGAGGTGGCACGAGAGGGGATCTGGAATGCTTTTGTGTTAGGGAGCCTCTGCCGCCGCTGTCTGTGCCTGCGGGGCCTGGGACTCCTCAGGCGGGGGGTCCGCTTTGGAGAAGTTCATCTCCAGGATGTGCCGCTGTAAGTGCCGCACCCACTCTTCCTGGATGGAGAGGGGGCCCTGGAATTCCACCTCACAGAACCTGCGTGGGTGAACAGAGAGAGGGAGTGGCCAGTGCTGTGAGGAGAGGCAGAAGCATAGCCTTGCCCACGTCCCTGGGCACACCTGCTGCTACTTAGTGTGGACAGAGCAAGCCCAGGAGGCGGGGGAAGAGGGGCCCAGAAGTCAGGCATTTCCCATGGACAGCCACCTCCACTCACCATGGGGTCATGTGAGCCCCTGCCTCTATGCTCAGAAGTCACTGGGACCAGCTAAGGGCTACTGGCTTCCAAGTACCCCTGCCATCTGGCAGATACATAGACTCTGAGACGGAAGAGGGCACAGAGAAGCAAATCCTACCCAATGAGCCAGGCCCCCCTCCTCCTCCTCCTCCTGTCTTCCTGGCACCTAAAGAGGCCTCACAGCACAGAGGCCTGGAGCCCAAGCTCCACGGCTCAAGACTTGGCTTTGACTCTGACTTCTGACTTGGCCTGTATGGCCTCAGGCAAGTCACCTCATGTCTCAGAGTCCCAGTTCCCTGCTCTTCGATGTACTTGTGGAGTTTGGTAAGAATTAACTAAGACCTACTTTTTTCTTGAGCCAGACACTAGTTGAGTGCTTACTTACCATGTGCCAGGCAGTTCTGAGTGCTTTATAAATATTAAATTCACTTACTCCTCGTAACAAATCTGTAAGGTAGGTTTGTTATCAACCCGCTTTTATGAGTGAGGAAATTGAGGTAAGGAACAGTTAAGTCCTTCCCTGAGGTCACTAAGCTGGTAAGTGGCAGAGTTGGGATCTGAACCCAGCTCTTGCAGGCTACAAAGCTCAGGGTGTCAGCCTTTAGCCTGAGCCCCGCCACACCCAAGGGCAGCCACTGAGGC